CTTAGTTTTTCGGCTAGTTGTTATAAATTTATTTTATCGTTTCCTATATGCTTAGCAGTGAATTGATATATATTTTGAAGAAAGAAGACGTTGAATTTTATGATCAGTTACCAATCATACCACTGTGTTTTGCAGGATTCTCACGTCAATGTCAGGTTGGATTAAGAATATTTTGTCAACAGAGCAGAAGAAATCAGATTTTAGACCTGAAGAACATGGAGTAGGACTTGTGGAGAGGACGACGGTACTGAATTGTTATCAAAGCTGTAAAGTGTAAAGAAAACTCATCATCAGTAGTTATTGGAGAGCGGTTACAGAGGTTCCATTGGGTTTTTTGACCGCGCGAGATCTGGGTATAGAGGAGAAGGGTTAAAGGCTACTTTAACTCATAACCACCCCCACCCCCCTCCCCCCCAAGAGTGTCAAGCATCTAATTTCTCCTTACAATATCACCCCTGAATCAAACATGAAGGTCACAAGAATAAAGGAAATAATCACCAACTAAAGAAGCTCTTGATTGTCAAACAAATTCTCCTTGTCGGCACCTTAGGAAATGTGAAGAAATCGGTATGGAGAATGTGCATACTGATGTGAGGGTGTAAAGGGTTTAGGTCATAGACGTATCCGTTCATTTTCATCTGTTAGAAGTCCACTTTGATCTTTGGGGATTGTGAGCAGTGAGTTCGTGTTGTTCCTTAAAACATCCCTTCACACAGATGTTCTGCAAACGCCATACGATTTGATAGCAAAGTACGCTTCAGCGATCTGGTCAAAGTTTGCAACAGAATAAAAAGAAAAAGTGATCGTCAGTTCCCCTTCGTGCAAACGTCTTTTTTCACTTTTGTGGTACTTCTTTTTCGACAATGCAAAGGATCTATAATTAAATGCAGTACGTTTCATTTGATATCCTCGTGTGTTATTAATGTTTCTTTGTTGTGTGTTGACAGGCGTGCGCCAAGACTTGTGAATTCATTTATTCCCAGCGGAAGTTCATCCAGGAATCGATGGATGGAAAGAACTTGGAGTCGGTTCTCACAGAATTCGGCACACGAATTCACCGTCAGGTGTTTGAACATCTACAACAATTTCAATACACTTCAATAGGTAAACAATGTTTGTTTCACGCTCGTTTCGTTTCACGTTTGACGTTTTCTCGTTTCATGCTCTTCTTAGCTCGAAGAACGCGCCTCACTCGTTCTTATTGCAAAAGACATGTCATGGCTACTTAAGTGAGCTTTGTGTTCATTGTCGTGTCTTTTTTTTTTTAGGAGGAATGGTGGCGATATGCGATATAAGCGAGTACAGGAGCTGTATCAAGGAGTTCAAGGTAATTAAAAATATTCGTACTGTCGTGTTAGCCTGTTGGCTTTTCAGTCCCCATTTATTCTCCTTATTGAAGTGGAACAGGATGAACAAAGGGCAATTTAACTACCTCGTTTCAGAACGTACCCAGTGACAACTCGTTCTGAATTTTAACGCCTTAATCTCAGGCCACTACAGTGTTCCTAGCCTCCCACACCCTATAGAATGAATGTTTTTGGGGAGAATTGTTGTTCAGACATGTTATATAGCGTTGTGCATTCTAGTGCGCCTTTGTGTTCCAAGGGGCCGGTTGTTCGAAAGACGGTAAGTGCTGGAGTAAACGTTATGATGTTTGATTCTTCATGTATAAAATGGTGTATGGACGGTTACTCTCGAGGGGGTTTTATCAAAGTGCAAGTCTGAACGAAGAAAACATGAACGAAATTGTGGGGCTGCGTGCAAAGCTACTTAACTTCACATCAACCCTGTATTGATTAGTTTTAATTGATGTCGTTCTTTACAACCCAGCCCTGTGTAGTAAATGATAATTTTGATCCTTTTTATTTTTTCATTAGATCCCCCTGTTAGTCAAATTATTTGACAAATTATACTCGCTCACGAACTTATTAGTCGTCCAACCAGAAAACCTGAAACAAGTCTGTTCAGAAGAGCAATTGGTAAGTATGTGAATGAACAACTCTGTTTTCGGTTTGGTATTCAAAAGTTTGAAAAAACTTTCTGATATGTCTTCCTGAGGCTCGTGTAGTGCTTACTTTAAACTGCAGAAGTAGGTTAGAGTTAATGGTAATGGTCACAGTTGACTTTTCAGCTCGTTTGAATGTAGTTTGGAATGGTTAAGTTACCCGGGAATCTCTAAAACGCTATGAGAAGGGAATTTTTTGATTCGCTTTTTAAAGACAGTGATAGATTTATACGGCTTCAGCAGGATGTACTCTTCTTTTCGGAGGCAGCTCGATGCCAAACCTTCACGCAAATACTGTACATGAAACTTAACGCTATTCCTCCTGTTTTGTTTTAGGCAACGCTAGACAAAGCTGTTTTACAACAGTTTGTACAACTTCGAGTTGATTACAGAACAGCCAAACTGTCCAAGCACTTCATGTGATCCTCACCAAAGAAGGCTGCAACTTTTTCACTTTTGATGTCTTAGTCCACTCTATTCTATAGGTCCAAGAGTCCTCTCCATTTGATCTCTTTCCCTAGACGAATGACGACTATAGTAACGTAACTCGTTTCAACATACTCCTCGTTTCCAGGGTCCTCTCTTTTCCTCCTTGAAGGTCTTCGAGCAAACTGACCGCACTTTGGTTCCTTACTGGCTTTGTATTGTTAGACTTAGTTCCCAGTGCTATGTTCATCTTTGTAACTCGATATGTTAACAGTCTTAAGTGTAACTAGATCTTACCTTCAGCAACACATGTGAATGTAGGGTTGAATTTAAAGTGTAAAAGTGAATGATCTACCGTCAAGGCTCTCGTTCTCAGACTACGTTAAATTTGTTGTTTTGACGTTGTTTCGCTCTGGACGGCCAGGAAGTGTACAAAGTTTTAAAACGCACATGCAGAGCTGTTATGCCAATTGAATTTTTTTTCGGAACGTTTTCGTTGTTGTCGCCGTAGGGGTTTCTTCAAGTCTGCAAACTCCTATTCGGCGATCAGAGTTTAATTTCGGATGATGCTGACTAATCAGAGGGCTTTAATTACTGACATCTCTCTCACGGTGATGGATACGAGACAATGGGTGACTGGTGAACTCAACCCATTGCAAGTTCTCTCCCATTCGGAGAGACATCTTAATTAAGAGATCCTCGATAGCTTTTAGTAAAGAAGATTAAGTAATTATTGACTTTTTCAGAAACATGTGCCAGGTATCTAAAATAATGTCTCACTGTATGAATAACACACCAAATTTCCCGACAATGTATTTTTTCATCGAACCCTGTAACACACTTGGGCATCATAGTCTGTGGCTCATTGGTGTAGCATCGGAGCGCAAGATCTGAAGGCCTAAAAATCGTTCCCCCATAGAAACTCCAATTATTTCTTAGTCCCGCGCTCTTAAAAAACCAAACACATCTCTATTTACTTTATCTTGGGTAAACTTTATCTCTTATTTTCCATGGTGGCTGTTTGTCATGGTGTCGATTCCAAGACTTGAAATGTGGTTGGACATCTGTTAAGTTCATGGACCATTTCATCAGCCTAGTTCTGACACTTTGACGTTTATCGACCGTCGTTTTTACTTTAAATTCAAGTTACCAGGATTAATTTGAGCTGACAGAAATAAAATTCGTTCGATTTGACGGGGAGTCCAAATACACCGAGTTCGAGTTTGCTGGTGGTAAATGACAGGAAAAATTGGGTTTAATTCAGGGTAAAAAGGGATCTTGTTCGAGTTAGCGGGGGATTCGATATCGCGGGTTTTTACTTATCTACCGCTATAAATAGTGTTTAATTAATAATGGAACAAACAGGAAAAGGAATAAATTCATAACTACAAATTTGAAGGACACATCCCAATATACACAATTATGACTACCTTGAGCAAAGCAAAATTTTGTGAGCTAGGTTTTATTAAATTTGTAAACATCGATAAATTGCTCCGTTTTACTGAAAGGTTTTTGGTTGATGTAGCGATTATTAAATGCGAATATTCTCTTCTAATGCTGAAAAACAGTTTCAAGGGAGCACTGGGAATGAGTTTTATTGAAGTTCTCAGTTGTTTCATAATCAAGCTATCAATTTGCTATCTTTGAAAGGCATACGATCGATTATATCTTACCTAATAATCCATGTCTCCCACCCAATCTGGACAGAGAACATTCTCTAACGACTTGGGGAAATACTGTGGTTAGAAGAGCGATACGATCCGCACGCGGCCTAACACCGAGCAGCAGACTGGTTCATATCTAGAAAATGACACTCGGTCTGCTGTTCTTGATGAGATTGTGCCATCATTCCCTACTTTTATGATGCTATCAGTTCGAGATGTTAAACAGCTTATCCACAACGCAGCTCTTAAATCCTGCTCTCTTGACCCTATGCCATACACACTGGTTAGCAAATGTGCGGATCTCTTTCCAGTTCTCACAAATATCATCAACAACTCATTGCAGTCCGGGTCTTTTCCTGACATTTGGAAAGAAGTTCTAGTTTTTCCACTGTTAAAGAAACCCGGTCTTGATGCCATCTTTAAGAACTTCTCTCCCGTAAGTAACTCGTCTTTTGTGTCTAAACTCGTTGAGAGGGCTGCTTTCAATTAGTAATAACTTATACCCAGTAGCGCAGTCTGTTTATAGAAGAAATCTCAGCACTGAAACAACACTTCTAAAAGTAACCACGAACGAAATTCTGTTAAAAATGAACAAGCAGCACGTTACTATGGTTTGAATGGCACTGCCCTTGCTTGGTTCCGATCTTATCTGTGTGGCCGTTCCCAGTGAGCCTCAGCTCGGGGAGCTGTATCTGATAAGTTTGACTTGCGTTATGGCGTTCCTTAAGGGACGTGCCTAGGCCCACTTTTCTTTACAATTTATGCAAGCGCACTGTTTGATGTCGTTGAAAAGCACCTCCCAACTGTTCCTTGTTATGCCGATGACTCTCAGTTAGACATCTCGTTTAGTCCCAAGGCGCATTCTGCTCAGGCTGATGCTGTTGCTTCTATCGAACATTGAATTCAAGACATCAGGCAATGGATGTATCAAGACAAGTTGCTCATGAATGATGCCAAAGCAGAACTTCTTTTGATCGGCGCCAGACAGCAACTTGCTAAAGTCACAATTGATGCCATAACTATTGGACACTCTGTCATTGCTCCACAATCTCCCGTTCGGAATCTGGGTGTGTGGTTAGATTCTGACCTATCAATGGGTGACAAGCTCGTACAATAACTGGAGGGTAAGGAAATATCTTAGCAACGAATGTAATGAAACTCTGATACATGCCTTTATTTCTAGCCGCCTTGACTATTGTAATAGCCTGCTATGTGGCTTACCGGCGTATCAGATTCAGCAAACTTCTTAACATTTCATCATGCAAGTCTCTTTCCACAGTTGGTGATCGATCTTTTAACATGACTGCCCCAAAATTGTGGAACGATCTTCCTCTTAGTGCTAGAAATATATGTTCGGTTAATGCCTGTAAAAGGGCTCTTAAAACTCATTTATTTCAGAAGGCGTTTTCCAGCTAATTTATTGTTTTTATTGTATTATAAAGAATAACTTGTGAATAGGATTTTAGAATCAGTAGTCATTGTTTTTAGAATTTTAGACTTATTATTTTTTAACAAATTATTAGGTAGGATTTGTAAATAGGACTTTAAGGATTAATCAGTTAGTTTTTTATTTTTGAATTGGAATAATTATGTACTAGGATTTTAGGATTTTACTGATTCAATGTAATGCAAGATGAAAATTAATTTTCTTGTGAAAGTGTATAAAGCATCCGTGCAACTCGTTCAAGAGTAGATTCTTCACTGCAAACAACTTGTCGAGAAGAGAAGGAGGAAGATCCAAATTAAGTTGGATCGCAATATATTCGAAATTTAATGAATTAAAGTCAGAAACACTTCTTATTAATGCCACTCATGGCAAACTAAGTCCTACTGTAATAGTTGGCAAATTCTGTAACATGCTATTTTGCACATTTAACACGGTAGAATTTTCGATAGAGTTAATTTTATAGCAATGTTTATAGAGATGCTAGGATTGGACCATATTTAAAACTCAGCAGTAGCAAGCTATTGCAAATGTTAATCTGTTTACAGTGACAAATTTGAACCATTTCAAGTACCATCAGATTTGGTACTTTCTTTGAAGTTAAAGTACAGTTTAATTTTCAATCTTGCTCGCCTGTGGCCTCTCTCAGAACCGCACAACTGCAAGTTTTCCATACATTATTTACAGATTAACGCACTCTACGAGTGAATTATCGGGGTTTATCTGCACGAGTTCACTAACAATGAACGAGTAATTTCAATACCGCATGAGGCTTTGCCGAGTGTGGTAATGGAAATTACGAGAGTAGAGTTGGAGTGGTGTTACAGCATCAAAGCATTTCATGCAACAGCGACTTTTGGTCACGTCACGCAACGCGCTCTCTCCTGCGTCTGAGAGAACCACACAGAGTTCTGAGAGAGGCAACAGGCTTTCATTTCCCAAGGCGCTGACAAGAGGAATTTGTTTATTAACCA